GAAATGGAATTCCTGATCAATGCCACAGGCCCCTCCTTCTCCCTCCCCTTGCTCTCCAGGCACAGATCCAAGTCCTTCCTCTGCTTGGTTCAGAATGACTTAAACCTCAGTCTTCCATAGCCCAGGTGAGGACCCTGTGCATTGTCCCCAGCGAAGTCTAGGGGAAATTGTTTAAATCTTAGAAAACGATTTCATCCTCTGCGGTATTCCTGCTTATATGTAGGTCACTGACAGGTGGTGAAGCATTCGTAGCTGGTACTAACTTATAACTGAGTTCCATAGAGGCTTCAGATCTTGTATCTCTATGCTTCCATTTTCACATGGCTTTTAGGCTTCATAGTGATCATTAATTACAGGTGAGCCTGCACCAAACTCTAGATAACCTCAGCACCTCTGTATTTATGGGGGGAGGAAACTGCATCTGAAGTCAGTTCTCAACTTTTGAGTTCAGGCTATCTCTTTAGATAGTATGTATGACTAAACAGTGTTCAGCTATGGTATTTTTCTGCCTAAAAAACCACAAATACAGTAGGTGTCAATGCTCCTGTAACCAAAAGACTAGAATGCTGTAATTTTTGAAGGTCTCTAAACAGCGTAAGACAAAAACTGAATACATTTCCATACTAATTTGAACATCCATTCTTAGACAGCTGGTCCAATGTTTCTTTTCTGCACGGTGTTGATGATGCACATGCAGTTTGTTGTGTCATGTCCGACGCTGATGTTTCACCGTGATTGCTGATTTCACTCGATTCTTTTTTGTAAAACTGAAACAGATGTTTAATTAAATAGGAACAAAGAACCTTTTTGTGTAACTGTGTCATTGCCCTCCATGACTGGGCAGCCTTGGACTGATCAGTTGGCAACATTTTGACTGCAAACCTCCAGCATATGAAGCATCTCTGTGCAGTTCTAGGTGGACTATCTTTGGGGATGCTTATGAGAGCAGGAAAGGAAAATGAGGGCTACATGCTTCCCTTTGTTGTGGGTCTGCAGGCCTTGGCACATGGGACAAGCACTGCACAGTGACTGGGGCCACTATTCAGTCCCATTGTGGGAAGGGGGGCATTCTTGCACTCTGGGGCCTGTACACAAGTCCTACAAACACTTCTCCCATACGGAAGTTGATGGATTGTGCTTTTTGCTTATAAAGTGAATGAATAGGCAGGGGAGAGGTTACCTTTTGAAGCACTGGATATAACCGCTTCCAGACAAAATATACTAGGACTAGTTCCAGAAGAAAATCTCTCATTCTGGAGAAGTTTAGAATCCTATCTAACCTGTAATTAGGGTTAAATAATGTAGAGCTAAACTATTAAAAAACCAACCACTTATAATCTTAATATTTTAAATGGAACATACATTTGGGCAGTGTGTTCCATCAGTCTTTCAAGTCTCTTTCCTCATTAATACACTGTTTCTATGTTAATATGTTTTGATGACTTAAACATCTATCTATATAATGTCCAAGTGAAATTTCATAATATTATCCTAATTTCAAGTGTTTCTTCCCTTAAGAGGAACTTTTATCTATTTTCTCCTGAAAACATGCATACCATATATTTAAGGCAAAATCTCCTAAAGGGTATAGCCTCGAAGAAATAGCAAGCTTTGACTATGTCTTCTTAGAATACTATAAACTGAGTGGCAGTTTAACAATTTGCTTTTTGAAATACAACTTGTTGAAAGATAGAGCGCTATGCATTCGGAATTGTATCTAGTGAGATCTTATACCACAACTTCATTCCAAAACTTCTGTTTGCTTGTCAAAATATGGAGTCTACTGCTCTTCAGTATTTATTGTCGAAATATTCAGTAGTCTGCAATGTTAGAGCATCTAATGCAATTCAACTTCCAGACTCTTTATATTTACACAGCTTTGTTATTCCAAACAAACTGTTTTAAGTGCTGCAAAATTTCAAATTACTTCAAATGTTTCTACCACTTAAGACAATCATCCAGATAAAACATGTTTTTAATATTAACCTAAGTTGCTCAGGATGAATAAAGAGTCTAAGATGGTACTGTATATAATGTTGTAAAAGATGTGGCCTCTGGATGTAGCAGGGTCTGGTTTCCAAAACCTAGATCTTAAATAAACATATTTTTGTTCTTTTATTTTAGCACAAACAAATTAAATGAAAAAAAAAAAAACCCCAACACATTTGTGTTGTTCATTTTTTGTAAAGCTTACGCCCAGCTAGTCTCAAAAGATATTCCGGCAGCCCAAATCAGTGGTGTCCTTAGTCTGTGTAATATGTACTGTCCTTCCAAATACTGTGACGGCCACATATTATGCCCCTTTTTTTCTGCTACCTGTTGTAGACATATTTTGATCAATGATTATCTTTGTTATGTATGTATGCAGTGCCTAGTGCACAGTGCAGGATGGGGCTGGGCTGGGGACGGGGGCGAGCTTGTGCTTGACTGAAACCTGTTGGGGCCACTGTAATAATTTTAATCAATAAGCAGATTATTATACAGTAATCAAGAAGCACCTAGTAAACCCAGAGATGTGTTATGGTTTAGGGTGATGCCACTTTGGTAGTGGGGCAGGAAAGAGGGAAATCGCATACCACAGTGCGTACCACACTGGAGTTTATTGCTTCTGGGTGCCATGTTTACATGTGCGCCCAGGACCGTAGCATGTTGAGCCGGGTCAGAGCAGCCCCAGCCAGCACCATCAGTGTCTACATGTGAATTGCTATACAATAAAGAACTCTGCCACAGTATAGTACTTGTACTTACAAGTACTATCCTATGGCAGAGTAAGTTAGTTTACTGTGGCCTAACAAGGCCGCAAATGTACACATGGAGACTTTACTGTGGAGCTAATTAGGCAGCTCTGCAGCAGAAGTCTTGTATAGACATGCCCACTGAGAGCAGGATAGGATTAACTTCTAGAATACATCCTATTTTCTTCCCATGTTAGGTTCCTGACTTCTGAACTTGACTTTCCCCACTACACTTTTCTGCCAGGTCCAGCCCTTCTGAAATAGTAGGAAGCACCAAGGGGCATGTGGAAGTAGAAGAAACTGCAGTTGATGGCTAGACAATGTTGGATAGGGCCCAGGTAGCTCAGCACTGGTAGGCAGACCACATGGGGAACAAACAGTTTGGCATTGTATAGAAGAAGCTTCTTCTACTGCTTCTTTTATTGTGCAATCCTATATAAGAGGTAGAATTAGTGGGCTCCCCATAGAGTGAAGGATGACAGAAAGGGAAGAAGTTCAGTTGTGGGGATCATGGTATTGTGGCAGAATTGCAGATGAGAGAAACAAGAACAAAAATGGCTGTACTTCTGCCCTTCACATAACTGCTCTTGTAAACCTCTCATGAGCCATGCTGTTTCTTCCCAGGTAAATCATTATATCACATGGATTAACCTGAATATTCCCATCCTGGGGTTAAGCCTCAAAACTGCCATTTCTGAGCAGGAAAAAGTGGTGATAAAATGAACAAGAGGTGATAAAACACAATATATTTGAAACTGTGGAAAATAAAATACAGCTTGCTTAATCATCCACAACCAAGTTCTACTTGAAAATGCTAACTTGTGACCCCTTGATATTTGCAATTGTTGCGGGGAAAGAATTTGTCTCAGTGTGATCTTCATATATTTCCCTTGCCTATTTTGCCGCCTCCTTCTTTAAGGAGCAAGAGAGGTGGCAGTACTCAATAAATCATAGAATCGTAGAAATCTAGGGTTGGAAGGGACCTCTGGAGGTCATCTAGTCCAACCCTCTGCTCAAAGCAGGACCATCCCCAACTAGATCATCCCATCCAAAGCTTTGTCTAGCCAGGTTTTGAAAACCTCCAAGGATGGAGCTTCTACCACCCCTCTGGGTGGCCTGTTCTGGTGTTTTACTACCCTCCTAGTGAGAAAATTCTTCCTAATATATAACCTAAACTTTCTACACTGTGACTTGAGACTGTTGCTCCTTGTTTGGTCATCTGCCACCACTGAGAACAGTCTAGCTCCATCCTGTTTTGAATCCCCTTTTGGGTAGTTGGAGGCTGCTATTAAGTTCTCCCTCAGTTTCTTCTTCTCTAGACTAAATCCAGTTCCCTCAGTTATTCCTTATAAGTCATGTCCCTCATCCCTCTCACCATTTTTGTCACCCTCCACTGGACTGTCTCCAATTTGTCCACATCCTTTCTGTAGTGGGGGACCCAAAACTGAACACAGCACTCCAGATGTGGCCTCATCAGTGTTGAATAGAGAAGAATAATCACTTCCCTCAATCTTCTGGCAACACTCCTACTAATGCAGCCCAGTATGCTGTTAGCTTTCTTGGCAACAAGGGCACACTGCTGGCTCATATTCAGCTTATTGTCCACTGTAACCCCCAGGTCCTTTTCTGCAAAGCGGCTGCCCAGCCAGTCAGCCCCCAGGCCGTACTGGTGCATGGGATTGTTCTGTCTTAAGTGCAGGACTTTGCACTTGTTGAACTTCATGAGATTCCTTTTGGCCCAATCCCCCAATTTATCTAGGCCACTGTATCCTAGCCCTACCCTATAGCATATCTACTACTTCCCACAGCTTGGGGTCATCTGCAGACTTGCTGAGGGTGCTCTCTATACCATCTTTCAGGTTGTTGATAAAGACCTGGAGCAAACCAGCCCCAGGACTGACCCTTGGGGCACTCCACTTGATAAAGGCTGCCAACTAAACATTGAGCCATTGATTACTATTCTCTGAGCCCAATGCTCCAACCAGGTTTCTATCCATCTTATAGTCCATTCATCCAACCTGTACTTCCTTAGCTTGCCTGGGAGAATGTTGTGGGAGTCCGTATCAAAAGGCTTTCTAAAATCGAAGTATACTACATCCACCCATCTCCCTGCATCCACATAGCCAGTCATCTCATCATAGAAGGCAATCAGGTTGGTCAGGCATGATGTTCCCCTGGTGAATCCATGCTGACTCTTCCTAATCACCTTCTTCTCCTCCAAATGCTTAGAAATGTAACCCTTGTGTCCTTTTCTTTTGTCTCTAGGTAATCTGGGTTCCCAGCTGGTTGAGTATAAAGAAGAAATGTACATAACATCTGATTGCGGGAATACCTGGCGCCAGGCAAGTCAGCAGAAATTATAAGAGCTATATCATAATAATTTTAAGTGGCATATCATCATCATTATTATTGTTATACCCATCCCATTTAATGTATTTACTTATTCATTCTGCACACAGTCTGTTTTTGAGATAAGTAGCTGTTATTATCTCTGAAACAGAGGAAGTGTAAGGGGAAGATTTTCAAAGGCACTAATGAGAGTTAGGCTACCTACTCATTACTGTTTAAAATAGGTTGCCTATTTTGTAAATGTGAATATCTCCTCATAAGCAATTTGCACATGGACTGTGAGAAGACCCCAGTGACCTGTCTCTAACCTTAACTCTGCTCTCAAATGACAGCATGAGGGGAGATATAAAGAAAAAACCCCAGAAGACGTCTTTTTAATATAGTTTAATCTAATCTGTTACCACAACAATCTTTAATTATAATCTTACAGTAATTGCATAGTGTCATTAGAATTCTGAATTTTCTCTGATTACAATGCTTTGTTTTAGGATAATTGCCAGATGCCTGTAATGTATTTAATCCTTAACCACTTTCAATCTTAGCTCTATTTAAATATAGTTGAGTTTGGTGAGGGCTTGTGCTTTTGTTTTATTTTGTTTATGTCTGGCAGTGTTAAATAAATAATACAATAATATAGTAATATAATAAAGATGATGTTAAAGAGGATAGGGAAGTATTAAAACACTCAAACACTGTCAGAGAGAGGAACTGGTAACAAGAGAAATGTGTCACAAAATGTTTCTATTTCAATTAAAAAAAATTAAGTGAAACACTATTATATAATATTGAGTAGAAACATCATGTAATTTTGCTGGTATATAAGAACCAACAAGGGTGACACTGGTCACTATAGTTTTGCTCTGAACTTAATTATACCATTATAGCAAGAGATGATATAACAACACATAGAACAACTATTTTAAAATAAATGCATTTTTGTCGCACTAACATTACTTTACTTTCAAAAATTAAGATTTTATGCCAGATAATTTCTAAGTGGACATTTAAATATAAAAGCCTTCTAGGATTTATAGTAGGGTTTTATCTCTATGTGCAAAGAAGTGCTGCAGTCCTTATAATGGCATTTAGTTGACCTCTTTAAGTATTTTAGTGCTGCCATTTACCAAGACTGTAGTTTTTCTTGTGAGGAAAGGAAGAGACAAAAGGGGCTGGCATTCATGTTCCCCTGTTTCCAATTGCAAGGCACTTAACTTACTGAGATAAAACTGGGTTTATTTGGGTGATTTTTCACTAGATATAATGTTACACACAACCTTTGATCCCTATTACAACAGTCGAAATGAAAAATTCCACTGATTTCTCTATTTTAATTAAACCTGTCATGAAAGCTTTGAAAGATCTTATTAAATCTTCATATTGGTGGCCACAAAGACTACACAGATTATTGTGTATGTTTTATGACCCCATTATTTGTGATCTGTCTGATCTTTGTGAAGGCAGCTCTACATTTTCTTTCTCTAGTTAAATTTGTGAAGCTAAAGACAGAGCATCAGCAATTAGATGACACTGCAATTATTTAGACAATTAATTATGGGTCTCTGGGGCTTGCACAAGCAGAGCTTATGTTTTTGCCGCAGTTCATTGGATGGATTCAAGCCATTGACTTGGAAAGTTGGCAGTTGCAACTGCTGTGTACTAGTTACTGCTCTACACCTTTGTCACATCCCACACTGCACAGCCCTGCATTGCCACAGAGCCATCTGCAGACTCTTTTAGAGGAAAACAAGATACAATTGTATATCTTGAGCAGAAGCAAGTATTAGAACAATACAGAACAGTTAATACATAAGAGAAAGGACTAAAGCCAGTAGAAACAACATGAGTAATACAGATATAAAACACCATCCTGGAGGAAAAGATCAGTGCTTGAAATATTGGTGCCTGGAATCATATATCTGTCTATCTATCATAGATAGATAGATTGATCAAAAAGGAACTCAAAGACCACCTAGCTGACTTTCTTGCACTGAGACAGAGGTAAGATTGCCCAGACCATCCCTGATAGATGTTTGTTTAATCTGTTCTTAACAATCCCCAATGAAAGCTGAGCCACATCCTCATAGGTAGCCCATTCCTGTGCTTCACTACCCTTATGCTATGAACAGATGTCACCTTTGTCATGGGGGGAAAATAAGAAAATGTCACAAATGTTGCTCTTGTTGTGGGACAATCTCCAAAATGGTATGTTCAGTAAGGGGTGTCAACAGTTTGTCCCATGCTATTCCAAAGGATGTCTGAAAAGTTGTCCCATTATATCATTGTGGGAGAAGCAAGTCAGTTGGTTCTCCAGCATCCCACAGTGTACCACTTCATCCCCAGTCCTGGCACTTCTTGAACTCTGTGTGGCTGCTCTGGCCCTGATCACAGAACTCTACTGAACAGAGATGGCAAGTCCCTAATAGCTACTGTCACCTAAGATCAGCGTTGGAGCCTGCATCCACTAAAGCAACCTCAAACACCACCAATCCCCAGGACCTCCATCTACCTAACCTGCCAGTTGTTGGAGAGGTCATTGGACACATCTACTACTTACTAAGGAAGGTTCATACCACCATATCTCTACACATACATCCATCCGCCCTCTGCCATGGCCTTTCAATTTCAGTGTAGTGTCTTGAACAAGCATTGCAATAAGTGGACCAGGTAGGATGCAGTGGAACTCATCGCTGTCTGGACTGAGACCTGAGAACTGGTAGGTTCTCCAGCCAAGCCACTGGAACAAGCAGTCTTTGCATTGATTGTGAAGGGAATGGCAGCCCAAGGACATAACTGTAACTGGGCCCAGTACTGGTCTATGTGCAAGGTACCGAAGCAACAATTTATAAGGACATGGGACAGCAGTCATATGTCGGGTGCATGTGAAGTCACATACACCTACTACAAGGAAGTCTCCTACATCTTTATTCAACAACATAGTTGCGTCAAAAATGTGGTGGACAGAGTGGCTCATGCTGCCCAGGAAATGATAAAAACTCCAACACAACTGTGGTCAAAGACACACAACCATTGCAGGCCAGCACAGCAGTGCTGAAAATGAGTCAGACTGGGGACTTGCTGGTCCTCCTGCTGAGATGTATGGACTTGCTGGCCACATGCCTAAGCCATGCAAACTCTGCAATAGACCCAGGGTGGGACAGTGAGGGCCTGGAGTTTCCTGCTCGACCCCCTATGCTCAGCATCTTAACCAGCCTTCTCACAACAGGGACTCCATACCCCAGAAAACCCAGTATGTGACAGTTCAACTCCCACTTCTAGAGGTGGTAAGTGGCAACCTCTCCTTACCCATTATGGTTGGGTAAGGAGAGGTTGGGCAATGGTGCGGGGGCTGGCAGGTAAGGAGACAGAGTGCTCTGGAATCTCAATGGCTCTCTGGGTAGTTAAACAAAGACCCTCTTCCCCAACCAGAAGTGCATTTTGTGTCTGTGCTCAGACCACATGCCTGTGGACTTCCCTGTCATGTCACCCCTCCCCCTCCCCCCCCCCCCCCGCGCCCCCCCCCCCCCCCCCCCCCCCCCCCATGTATGCTAATAGGCACTTTAGACAAAGTAGAAAATTCATGGAACTCATCTTTGTTTTTTGGAGGGGTATCTGTAACAGTCATCAAACCATCTCTGTGTATGGGGTCCCAAACCACAAACCTGGGGCTGTGACATTCACTGTATGTATGGGGCAGGAGTATTCAGGGACATGAAAAGCACCAAAAAAACCCAGCTGCTCAATGCATTGTCTGCCTGGCTCAGCACCAGCTGTGTCCCCCTCCCTCCCACCCTCCAGGCAGGATTTGGCTTCTGCAGCCCAGTGTTGATCAAAAAGGAGGACAGGGAGGAAATGTGCACAGCCAGCTAAAGCTGTTCCTCCTTCCCTGTCTATCTCTTTCTCACCATCCAGGTCTAGAGGAGCCCACAACCTTGCACAGCCCAATCTTTCACTACCTTCCTTCCTTCCATGTTCCTGGGAGCACAGATCATTTCCCTTTCCTGACTATTTCTCCATCCTAACATGCCCACCCTGCACACTCTCCCTCCTTCCCCCAGCGACAACTTTATGAGACCATGAGTTCAGCTGACAGTGTTTAATTGGATACATGACATCATTCTGTGATTCACTGTTCTGACCCTCAGCCCGGAGGCTGGAAAAGTGGTCAGCCAGCACTTCTCATGCACATACAGTGCCAGGAACCTGGTCTCCATTTGGCAGTTCTCAGGTATGGCCTCTGTAGGAGGCAGGGACCACTCCACCCTGACTGTTGGGAGCTCTGAGCAAATAATTTGTTCTCCCTGTGGCTTTCCAGATGTTGTGCAGCTTGCTTCCAGAGATCACAAAACAGGGCACAGTGTGCTTGTTGGCTTCTGTGTGTGTCCTCAGGTATCTCCAGCAAGCCTTGAGGTGCCTGTAAGCACACTCCACAGCCATTCTGCAGCTGCTGAGCTGGCAGTTAAACAGTTCCTTCAAGCATCCAGTGAACAGCTTATCAGCCAGGGTGCAGTGGGTAGCCAGGGTCCCTGATTAGTAGTCACATAATCTATACATTAGTAGTCACTCTTTCAACCTAGGGACCTCTCTTCACGCCATCAAATCATGGAAGAGGGAGCTCCTAAATATCCTGGCATTGATTACCCTGCATGATCTGCCAGTATTTACATGTGTGAAGTGCCTACAGTGGTCCACAACTTCCTGAGGCACAGTCAAGTACCCCTTCTGGTTGCTGAATTCACAGCCATGGTGCACAAGGGGAAGGATGCGACTGTGTGTGCCATTGACAGCACCAGCACAACTGGGTAACCCCAAGTGGGCAAACCCATCCACAATCTCCTGTGGGTCAGCAAGGTACATAATATGCAGGGTCATCACCTGTTGGATTGCCAGACACACCTTCCATGTTGCTTCTCCAGCTATCAACTTGCCAATGCCAAAATGATTTGCTATGGACTGAAGGCTACCTGGGGCCACAAGTTTCCATATAGTGATGGTAACATACTTCTCCATGGATAAAGATGCCTGCATCACTTTTGTCCAGCACTATATGTGTTGGGCAAGCTGAATGCAAATTTCCATAAAGGTGCCCCTGGGCATGTGGAAACTTGCATGCCACCGCTTGTTGTCCAGGTGGCCATGATGATCCACTCCTGCCAGTCCGTACTCATCTCTCTGACCCATAAATGCAGCTTTGTGATTTGGAGCAACTCCCATATTTGCTGAGCCACAATATGCTGACCTGTGGCCAGAGCTGACCTGAGCAGGGTGTGGAGCCTGGGACAAATCAGCCCATGCAGGGCCTTGCCCCCACTCCAATCCAGGCCCCAGACCCAAAGAAGCTGCTGCCACCAATGCCAGCGGCGGCATCAGCGGTTGGGGTAGCAAGCAGCTGGATGCAGAGCCGCTGCTCTGCCTGGCTCTGCGCCGCTGCTGCTCCACCCCACACCCGCCTTCTGCCCGGGGTGGTCGCCCCGATTTGCACCCCACTAGGGACGGCCCTGCCTGTGGCCAAAATATCTTCAAGATGGTGGGTTCTACTACAGATTAGGAGTTGAACATAGTCATAGACCCTGCATTGTTTGGCATCATGCACGTGCATGAGCCTTTCCCCTGCAAGTGCTGCTTCCTCATTCTGAGTGCCAGTGGACATAGTCATGGCAGCCATCAAGCCCACTGATGTCATCCTTTTCCAATCGGTTTTATTCCGGCTGCGGATGTATGCTGTCTCTGGCCACCTGCTGGCAGGAGAATGGTGGTGCAGTCAGGCGCTCTAAGCTTGCGGCAACGTGTGGACATGCTGATCCTACAACTTCTCCATTCTGGGACAAGTAGTGCAACTGGTCCTGCAATAAATGTGACATCTGTTTATATTCTTAGTGTCAAAAGGATTGGCCAAGTAGCTAGCCTAAATCATTTTGGCTGACATTCAAGCCCATTTCTTCTTTTCCTTTCCCCAGTGGGGAAGGAGGGCAACTGGACATTGCTCTTTATAATAGCCTTTTATATATTAGAAAGCTTATCATGCCTACCCTTAGCATTCTTTTTCTACAGAGAACAATTCCAGTTTCTTTAGTTCTTTGCTTATGTCCCATTTTCTAAACCTCTTATCATTTTCATTGTTTTCCTCTAGATTCTCTCAGTTTGTCTACATCTCTCCTAAAGTGATGTTCAAAACTGAACACAGTAACACTAGCTCTAAGAAGAGAAAAATAATTATCTCCTGTATCTTACAAATGTATCTCAAAATGAAATTAGTTTCATTTGTTACATCACATGGTTGATTCATATTCATTTTTGTGCTTCATTATAACTTCCAGAACCCTATTTGTGGTACTGCTACCTTGCCAGTTAATCCTCATTTTGTATTTGTGCCTTTGATTTTTCCTTCCTAAGTGCAGTACCGCACTTTGAATTCTCATAGTTTCTTGCAGTCCCTCCCAATGTGGTAGCAGCTGCAGATTAGTTAAAGTTACTCCCTATTTTATCATCCAAGTTATTAATGCAAATATCAAATAGATCCAAAACCAGGACAGATCTCTGTGGAATCCACCTTAAATATCCTCCAGTCTGCCAGTGTACCACTGATAACTAATCTGTGAGAGCAGGTTGAAATGTCCTCCAGTGTGATAGTGAACCATTTGAGCATTGCTTTTCAACTAGCTGCACACCCACCTTGTATTGATTTCCTCTAGACCAGGGGTTCCCAAACTGTAGTACATATGATAGACATCTCGGGGGGTTATGTGGGAGAAATTGTGTAATGGCAGATTCAGTTTTCATTATAATAACAATAATTGGCCTTTAAGGGGTTGAAATATAAAATATATGCTGGTAGCGGTACACAGGCAGCTGGTAAATCTGGAAGGAGGTATACGATAAGAAAAAGTTTGGAAACCTCTTGACCATATTTCCTGTGTACGGAGATAAGAATACCATGTGAAAAATGTCAAAAACCTTACTAAAATCAAGATGTCACCTGGAATTTAGTAAAAAAAGAAAAAAAGAGAGATGCACAAAGAAAAGCTAATTTGAAAAAAAAATCCCCAAAATGTGATAAATGCCAAAAAAAGTATAAATGAGACAGGAAGATATAATTCAAATAAGGCAAACTTAGCATAGTTATGTGGGTTTGGGGACAATTTTGTGCCCATCACACCAAGAAAAATAGCATATTAAAATGTGAAAGATGAACTGTCAAATCAATATTAAATAGGTATAAACCAAGACCAGGTGAAAATGAAGACCACCTTTGAATGGGATTCTTTTCTCAGCCTGGTTCTATATCACCTTCTTTTGGCCTCTTTGGTTAGCTTTCCACGCTCTATATTTTTAACAGGCTCTGGCTTATCTAGTGTTGAGGATGACCTTATTGTTTTTCTTAGCACTGATTTATTGTAGTATAATACAATAGTACTGGTATTGACCTTGGGGCCATGCAGACATAGGAAGAGATGGTTCTGGTCCACATAGCTTGTAGACTGAATACACAGAAATACTTGTTTTATCCAAAGGGTACTTAATGCAAAAACGTAAGCAGCATTGAGAGCTGAGGTCTGGACCCAGGGCTGAATTCACTGGGCCACAGAGTCAGACTCCTTCTTGCTTGTTCCTTCTGACTCCATATATCTTTCCCTTTTGCTATGGGCCAGCTTCAACAGGATGGATAGAGGATGCCCTCAGCCCCTGTTAGCCTGTGGCCTGGTGTCTGGGGCACTGTTTTGGGTAACAGGAGACATTGGTTGGAACCCTACTAGCTGAGGAGGGCCTGGAACCTAAGCCTCCTACTTCCTGGGCAAGTACCCTAACCAGTAGACTAAAATGTGGGTGGGTTTCCAATTCTACTCCTCTTTACAAATATGGATTAGACTCTAAAATCTGTGTAAGAAGCTTTTGTACATCTGGGAGATGAAATAGGGTCTGGATTTGAGCAGAAATTTAGACAAGATTTGGATCAGGATCCAAAGTTCCCTCACTTACCTTACTGCATCTGACCTGATCACTTTCAAGTGCATCTGAAATGAATATCTATCCATTACTGAATGCTTTGTTAAAATATGCAGCTGAATGTAACAAGAAGACAGGACTATAAATGTCTCTTACGCTGGTCTGCAAATTGGCAATATCCAAAGGCTTTTGCAACTAAAGTATTCCCTTTAAATAAGGCAAGAAAGAACAGTTGGCAGATAAGGTTCTAACTAGGTTCTTCCTGCCTTTTTAAATGCTGCTTTATTCTTAGAAATACATTTGGATGTGTTGGGAGGTAAAGGCTTTTCTTCAGTGCTTCAGACTTTCAATGATATGGCTTTAAAATGAATAAAGAGAAGCATTTAGCATTGTCAGTATTTTTTCAATTACAAAGGTGAAGCAAAACAAACCATAGTCTTTTTCACCTTTTGTTGTGTGAAGCCATATGATGGGTTAAAGGTCTATTTTATATTTCCATGGGGTGTGCATTAACTCCCACTTTATCTCCTGCTGCCATGTCAAAGAAAGTTTCATGGACTGCAGGAGCAAACCTCAGATGTATCAAGTAAATGTATTTATTTATTTATTGTTTCCAGTGATGCAGAGTAAGCTTTTGGGATTTTTTTTTTCTTTCCTTCAACTCACGTTTCATCAGTTACTTCAGATCTGGGCTTTCAAAGAATTTTTTTAATCTTCTTCGTTTTACGTCTCTTTTAAGTCTTCTGTATACATAGATCAATAGTTACCTGGGAATGTGTTGTAAGGTAGCCAAAGATTTTCTTATACTTAAAATATAAAGTAACTCTGTCTCTCAGATATCATCATGTACTAACAGCTGATAAATCTCTTCTTTGTAACCACTATACCCTCATTTCCATTTGGCTAGTTGGCTGCATTTTCAATAGCTTGTGATCAGCCAGAATAATGAGAATCAGGAATTCTTCCAATGAGGTTTTCTTCTGTGATTTATTGAACTGTGGGAATGGAAAAAAACACATTTGTCCTTGAATATGTCCTTGTTCAGTACATCTCCCTTGTATCACTGAGTCAGCATCACATAGCCTGACCATTCAGAACTCAGAGTGACCTATTAACATCATACAATGTTTGAAGTTAGACAAACACACTATTGATAGTAGACTCTACACAGGAAACAAAACTCATACCAGGTGCATTATAGACTTCATACCTTAGAGAATGTGTTAGAATCTCATGGGCAGAAATATTTTTTTGTTTTTCTTGATATTATACTACAAGGCATGCTGTTTTCTAATGGCAATAAACTATATGACAACTATTCTAAATAAGTCACAAAAA